CCTGCGCTGGCTGGCGGGGGGCTGCCTCGGAGTGGGAGGGGACACTGCAACCCGCTCCCCCCCCGGCTTCCCGGTCGCTCCCGTCTGTCAGTCCCGCCCCGGGCTTCACCCCGGCGCCCCGGGGACAACGGCCCCCATGCGTCGCTGCCTGGGGCAGGGGGGGTGTGGGGAAGCTCCCCCCAGCGGCGCGAGAGGCGCTGCCCGCGGGGGGGCGAGGAAGGAGTCGCCCCGGGCTGACACGTTCCGCCCCGCGGGGCTGCCCGGGCTCAGCTCCCTGCTGTTTCCGGGAGGAGCCAGCCACCAATCAGATGGCGGCTGGTTGTGACGTCGACATAATGTCACCGTCGCGGGAAAATCAAGCGTGGAGGGGGATTTAAATAGGACAGGGCTCCTCCGCCGCAGAGGCGGGTGAGGCGGCGGGGGAAGTCAGTTGAACGCTGTCCGCGGCGGGGAGACACGCTGGCTTGGAGGCAGAAGCCCCCTCCTTGTGCCCCGAGAGCCACGTTTTACAAACGGGAGAAACACAGGCACAGACGAGTCTCTGCAACCCACTCAGCTGGGCACATCTTGTGGTAACAGGATTGCAGGACTGAACTTGTACGACTGGGATGTGAAACCGTAAATTCTTATGACCACAAAGCAGTTGAGACTGGAGGCCTAAAGAAGGTTCTCTTTACAGAACAGGACAGGGCCACTACTAGCACCTACTTCGAGCACTTTTATCTGCTTGCACTGGTAAGTTATATCATCCAGTGGTCCTTGACAAGCCTCTAGGCAGGCAATAGAGCCTTGTGCCATGGAAGAGAGAAACTTGATCTTTTCAAATGCAGTGACTTTTGAAAGGGAAGCATTGCTTCCCTAAACCTAACTAGCTGCCACTTGACTTGCACAAATGCCTGTTCCTTTCCAGGGATGTAATCGGTAGCCGTGTCGGTCTGACAAAAAATAAATGCAAAACTCTAGATCTCTTGGTTCAGAGATGATACCTTTTATTCAGCCAACTAAGAAATTGGAAAAAAAGATTACCTTGTTCCTTTCCAGTGATTTCTTAACCAGCCTGAACAGAAGCTGTGCCTTCCTCCATGCATGTACAGAGCATGCTGCAACGTGTTCTACCAGAACTCGTAACAAAGTTCCTCTAAGTGGTGGAAATGCCATTAGGTCTTCAGTTCTCCCTTAAGAAAGGGCTAGCCTCACAAGCTACATACCACTAGGGAAGAAAGATTTCTTTATTCTGCTATGATATCAGTTTAAGGATGCAATTCTAAGAAAAAGCAATGCAAATTACTGGCCAAGACCTGCTGCTGTGATTTCAGGATATACAATACAGCAGATAGCTTGGAAAACCAGAAACAGGTAGCAGCATCCAGTGATTCTTGTCCACTGCCAGCCTGGCATAAATCAGGCTACCAATGGGTACTATCACAGATTAGAATGTACTAATACTTAGTGCCTTGCCGTCTTCTGCCTTAGCATGTCCTCTGCATGGAGGATATTTAGGGGACAACCCTACACTTTGCTGTGGCTATACAACCAGAATTTTCCTGTACCCTCAATATGCAAAGCACAAACATTAAATGAGGCAAAAGCATCTGTCCCATGATGTGAGAACTCAACTCACAACCTCAACTCACACATTTCTGTTAAAACAGCTGTAGGGAGGCAGAATGTCCTCTTAAATAATACAGGTGACACAAACATTCTTACCAAAGAAATTTATTTGCATGTAAATAAACATGTTCTTTGCAATATTTCCAAAAAGTTGAAAGTACACTCTACATCAAAAAAGAATGAAAAAATTAGCAGGAAATATTTACACAGTTGCCCACAAAAAAGCAAACTTCAAGACACATATTTACATAATGACCATGTAGGAAAGAACCATTTTCTTTTAATCTCAATGTACATTTCTTAACCTGAGATTAAAAGGTTTGGCTTATTTTATTTTGTTTATACATATATCTTTCCAATACTGAAAGATGTAAAATATTGTAGATAATAAGCAAAAATATTTTTAAAATAAAACATTTTTGAGAGACCAAGCATTTTACATGTAAAATGTCTGTGGAATATTGACACGTGTACCTCTTCTCTAATCAGTGCAATGGAAGCATCATGCATCTGTTGCCTGACTTTTAATAGTTATCTTTCTCCCATACTTAGTGTCAAATAAATGATGAATCAAAGGGAAAAAATTATAGTGCAGTACAATGGATTAAAAAAAACCTTGTTTACCTGCTATAACCACAGTTTGGGACTCAGTTTCTCTTGCAGCACTTGATGTCAACAGAGGCTTAAAGAGGATGCAACTTTGTTCCCTGTATTTCTTTAGGTGTTAGCAATGCTCACCTTTTACAGGAACAATTTAGAACATTGAACTTGGGTCTTGGGTAAGCAGGGGAGGAAATACGTTCAGTCATTTCAGTTAAAATACCCTTATAATTTTAACCTGTATGCTTTGGGAAGCTGAACAGTGTTTTTGTTTAAAATAATCTTCTCCTATATTTTGTTAAAACACCATTACATGAAACACTTGTTTCATGGGAATCCAATAAAGCACCCTTTGAAATCCCAAATCCTGCACCAATTTTGTAAAAGTGCTATCAGATTCTGTAAAGCCTTCACACAAACCAAAACAATTCAAAAGGCTCTTTTAAAACAAAGTAACTTCAATGAGAGGGACAAATTTAAAACAGATGACAACCTGTTGGAGTCTGAACAGGTATTTTTCCGAGAAGCAGCAGCTGTAGCAGGGTCTCAAGATAAAGTCATCTGGTGTTGTATTTCTTACATCCTCTTCACAGACACCTCAGTCATACGATTCTGATGCTGCATAAGATAATGTCATTTGCTCCAGGTTTAGACTTTATTTACTATTTTCTATCATCTCAGTAAATGAAGATGGGAGCATTGGTGAGAGGGAAACTATGGTATGCAGACCACTGGGAGCAAGGGATGAAGATTGGAAAATACAAGAAGGGAGAGATCACCAGTTATAGAAAGTATTAAGAGAAATTCACAACTTCTGCTTTCCATATAATAGCAATTTCAGCATATATCACAAAATTAAGTTGAGGACAGGAAGAATGGAAAAGCCATTTGTTTAACTAACTAGCTGAGTAGAAGCCATTCTGCCAAAATAATATGCGCTCCACTGGCTTTGGACAAACCCAGAAAAGAGAAGCTGTTTGCCCTGAAAGTTGACATGGGGTTGGACTATATGCAAGACTGGAAGTTTCAGCAGTTTGAAGGAAACCTACAAAATAAGGTCTTTTTCATACTGCCAGTCCAAACAGAGTATTCTCCAGTCCACAGGTGAAATCCTGCCCTCGCTGAAGTCAATGTCAAAACTCAGTGAGGCCAGAATTTCAGACTGTGTGATTGCTAATGAGACCTAAAGAGAGAAGATTGCACAGTACTTTTTATATACTGTATTTGAGTGCATGAAGGCTTTTCCATGTCTCCTCCCCATGAACATCATTTTAACTGCTTTCATTCATAAAATAAATTCTTCATTCTTATCCTGTTAGGGAAAAGGATTAGGAGACCTTGCCTGCCCTTTGCTCTAAAGTCTTGGGAAAGAGGAAAATCCACCACTTGGGGAAGTTGCTGCTTATATTGCTGTGAAGTTTTACAGACAACAGACCACTCTGGTCTGCTTTTCAGCAGCATTAAGTACTAACACCAGCACATTAGTGATTCTCATGCATACTGGTGAACTAAAAATCCCCCAAGAAGTGGGGGGAGAATGCTTGTGCGTGTTAACAGCATTGCTGATGATGAAAAACCTACTGCACAAAGTTTAAAAAAATGCCCTTGGCACCATTACAACAGAAACGATATTTTAAAATAAGGCCAGATTCTGCAAACATGCTTACACATGAATAATTCCATTGACTTCAATGGGACTTTTATAATGAGTAAGTGAAGCATATTTGTAAGCGTTTGCAGGATTCAGCCTTAAACGCATTGCTGTGAAGGCTGTTTGTCTAAATGAAGTATTGGCGGGATTCTGCGGAATTTCATTTGCTGTAAATCAAACAGTGCTCAGATTAAGATAATAGAAACCAGAGGGTCACTATTTTGTTTGCAATTTAATTTTGCTCCAAAGTTGTCTGAGATTTTACCAACTTCACCAAAGCTACAGTGGCTGCACACGTGCAGAGCGTTTCAAGTCCCCAGATTCTAATCAAACTCCCACTTTCCTAAGTCCCTTTGAGCCCTAAATCATACAATTAAAACGTAAAGACTGCATGAAAGCGAGCAGCACAAGGCATTCAAATATGGACATAAATAAATAGCTAAAACAAAAAGGAAATCCAACATAGACAAATATCCTTCATCAATTCAACCCGGAATAAAATCTTACTGTTCATCAGAACACAGTGTCTGATTTTGCCCTGATGCTGATACTAGAGGAACATGAAGGACCTCAGCACCTCAAAGAATCAGAGACTGAATGATGAAGTAAAAAAAAATAAAAATTTAAAAAGCATTTTTTTCCTGAAAGCATCCCACAATAACAGAAAAACCCAAGCCCCAATTATTAAAATATGCCTTAAAATAATTATCTTAAAACTTCCTAAAAATAAAGAAAACTTATGATGAAAGGGGAAAAGGGGGACAGTAGAAATATGATTCTCCCAGAATAACCTAGGTTTTTGTGTTTGCACCAATTTAGGGTCTGCTCTTGCACTTACATGCATGCTTATTTTGTACCCATTAACTCTCATGGGGGACTATTAACACATGTAAAATTAAGCATAAGTGTAAATGTCTGCAGGATCAAGGCCACAGTCAGGAAAGTGGTTTGCCATCTGAGATGCCATTCACCATCACAGATCAGCAGTCACAGGTGTTCTGTTCAGGTTTTTGATATCCTCAGCAATACTTTTTGCTGTTTATAACATTGTCTTTTAAGGTAAGCGTGGTAGGTCTGAAATGAATGGTTCTTTGTTTTCCATCTTTAGAACCCAGTCAGTGCTGTATACACCTCATCTTTTAAATTAAAAAAAAAATTAATTGCCAATTAGAGCAACATCCATGAGGTCATCATCTTCCTCCCCAATCAAGAAATCGGGGCTTGGCCGAGATGGTCTATCAGCTGACAGAATACCACTGCTTGTCATGGACAGAGACTGGTCAGAAGAAATAGGTGATTTAGACCAGCTTTCTGGTTTAATGCTATGAGACTTCTTCTTGTCTCTGTCCTTGTCACGATCCCTCTCTCTGTCACGATCTTTGTCTTTCACTTTCTTCTTCTCTTTTTTGTGCTTCTTATGCTTTTCTGAGCTATATTCTGGCAGAGGCCTAATTCCATCATCAGAGCTGGGGCTGTTCTGATAGGATTTCTCTGCTATGGAGGAGCCAGACTCGCTCTCACTGTCTATGTTTTGGGGAGTATATGCTGGTGACTTACTGTGGCTGGGTGAGCAACGTTCATGCTTTGGAGTAGACCCACTGATCAAAGGGGAGCCATAGCTTTTGGAAGAGGCCATCTGAGGCCGCAAGCTATCCCCACCACCTTCCCCGGGTTTCTGCAAGGTTACTTTGGCTTTAATGCTAGGGGAGCCACCATCATGTTTGCTGATGATAATCTTGGCCACACCAGTGCTTCCAACATTTTTGGAATCTGAAGTCTTTTTGGAAGAGTCAACAGATCCTCCGGAAACAGAGACTTTAGATTTGTCTTTGTCACTTTTCTCCCGCTTCCCCTGGAACTCGCCTCCAGACATGTGTTTGGAGGACATAGTATGGCTTGAGGAATTGGAACTCGGCCCCATCTGTCCATCCATTGGATCTTCACCACCAGGCCCACTAGTGACAACCCCATGTTTAAGTTTATCTATGACTGCAGTCAGAGATGGCTTCTTGTTTCTGCTGGGAGATTTGCCTTTGGAGCTTCCATGCTGGTTTTGAGATGAAGACATGGAAGAGCCACTCGATGAAAAGGAAGATGAAGATGCTGTTGAAGAGTTTGATGAAGGTGGTGGTTTCTGGGACATGGATCCAGAGGAACCCATTCCTGAAGAAGACTTCATACTTGAGCTTGATCCCGTCCCAGACATATGCGAACCTCCAGAACCTGAACTGATAGGTGATTTTGCTTTCGATGATGGGGGAGTACCAGGAACAGGTTTCATTGGAGAGGCAAGCTTGTCAGAACCCCCTGAAGGTCTAGAATGAGAAGGAGAAATGTTTGGTTTACTCATTGAAGGGTTCATAAGCGACGAAGGTTTTCCTTGAGGTTTCATCTTAGTACCTCCAGAACTGCTGCTGAGGCCATGTTTGGTGATGGGAGAGGATCCAGGCTTTCCCACGGACTGAGCTGAGCTTTTCGACTGTCCTGAACCAGAGCCACCCTGGCTTGAGTAGAGGCTGCTGCTCATCTTTGAGCCAGAAGACCCTTCAGATTTGCTGCTTTTTATTTTGCCTGAGGTGGAAGAAGAGGAGGAGGAAGAAGAGGAGGAATGGCTATGATGGCTTTTGCTGCTCGAGGAGGAGACTGAGCCACTACTTGTATACTGTCCATGCGAAGAAGGTTTGCCAACAGTCACTGTCCCTTTTGGGATCTGAATTGTGATTTTTGGAATAGGAGGAGTAGCTACCCCAGGGGGAGTCTGGGATCTGCCTGAACTTCCAGGAGATTTTGACCCACCTGTGCTTGCTGGTGGAGTGAAAGGCCTGTTAGATGTACTGTGAGATGGAGACTTCCCTTCTGTGTCTGCCTTCTTCCGTTTTGGAAGCTTTTCTTTACTTTTACCATCACTAGAAGGGGTCCGGCTGCGTTTTCCTGGCTTACCATCTAGCCCAGGCCCTGATAAGCTACTCCCAGAACCATTGCCTTCCTTTACCCGTTTCTGAGGCTTTTCCTTTCCCAAATCTCCTGTGCTTAATAAAGGGCTCTGGCTTCCACTGTGATGCTCCATAATGTCAGAGGACCCCAGTGCTTTGCTCGCAGATGCAATAATACTAAAGTCAACTGTGTCTGCCTGACTGCTTCCTTTAAATTTATTTTCTCCTCCATCACCCCCCAACACTTGCACTCCTAAAGTACTTAGAGGCTGGGGTGCATAGCCCTTAAAATCATCAGCATCTCCACTCTGGCTGCTCTCATCAAAGTACTCCTCCCCAAAACCACTTTGACTCTGACTGTTCAGTAAGTCAGGATTGAAATCTACTCCATCTGGGAAAAAATGATTTGAAGAATCACTGTTGGGGCTCACGGCAGCATCTGCTATAAGGTCTGCTGGATCAGTGTATGGGTTCTCACTATTATTTGTCTGAAACACATCTGGGTCAAAGAGGGCACTTTGTGAATGTCCTGAACTAGAAGAGTCTCTTACTGGAGTACCGATGGGCGGACAGTCCTCATTAGTACTGGGTAGCTTGGAAGCCTCCTCTGCTATATCTGAAAGGATATCAGTAACATCAGCTCCAATGCTGTCTGAACTGGAAAGCCGAACCATCCTCTGAATACTGGGCTGTGGGTGAGGTATAGACTGTGGGTATGTAGTAGGTGGAGTGCTACACTGACTGGGCGCTGGAGTAATATGAGGGGTATCCAGTGTATCTGCGGTCATGTTGACATCAAAAATTGGGTTCTGAGAATCAACGTCCATTGAAAACAGTTCTCTCTGAAAATCGTCCTCAGTCTGATGCTTGGGCTTGTCTGCCGGTATGCGTGATTTTTTTTTCTTTTGCTTATTCCCCCCAGGGCCCATTTCCATTCTGGGGGAGCCAGAAGACGAGTTCTGCCTTTCGAGAGGGCTGCTCCCATACAGAGTGGAGAAATCCTGAGGGGGATTGTCTTTAAGAAGGTTCATGAGCATGGGGTGGTTCTTGGTGTTGCTTGCTGGTGAGGATACTGGTGGTGGTGTGTGATGGGGAGGGGTTGGACTTGAGCCAATGGCAGAGCCCACATTCCCTGTGATCTGCAACAAACTAGTGAGAATTGGGTTCTGAGACACTTTGCTGAAGTCCTCCCCATGGCCCACTGAGTCATGCCTCTCTTTCATGCTCATGCTCATATTAAACAAGGTAGTGATGGGCCCCCCAGGAAAAGTGTTTGTTGGTGTGGTGGTACCACTCATTGGGTTGCTGCCTGTGGTCATGCCATACCCGGGGCTGCTGGCTGGGGGAAGGTTTTTCTTCACCATATCTTCTACTGTCTCTGCAATGAGGGACAGGGCGGGAGTATCTGCCTGAATGGTTTCTGCTTTCCTACGAATAGCTCTCATGGTCACAGGAATGGACATACATCTGCAAGACACAAGATGCAAAGGGTTTAGCATGCATTTTGCTTCTCTATAGCAGCTTTCATGTAAGGCATTCTTAGACCTTTAAAGGACTTGTAGTAGCCCAGCAAGGTAGGAACTCTTCCCATTTTGCAGGATGGGGTGGTGGGGGGACAAGACTAATACAAATGGAAAGAAACTTGCCCAACATCAAATGGACAAGGCAGCAAGAGAGCTAAGAATTGTTGGAATTTAGGGGCTTAAAGCTTGGCTGTATCTATTTACAGGCAGCAGACAACAGTCCCTCTGTGTATTACCTGGATTAATACAGTGCCCTTCATTTCTTATTACAAGTATTAAACTTTAATATATTAGTGACTGAGTAACATCTGCCTACTGAGAAAAAGGAATGTTTTTGTAGTTCAAACACAAGAGTGTGAGTAATGTGACCTGGGGTTTTACTCCTCACTCTGCTACCAACAATTGTCTAACCATGGCAAACTCAATTTAACATTTCTGGGCCTCAAGCTCTCTCAGACATAAAATTAAATAATACTATGCACCCGTGAAGGTAGATAATTCATTAATTAATATTTATAAAGAACACAGGAGATCCTCAAAGAAAACTTTCTACATAGGTACAGAGAATTATAACAACTTGTAGGGTTCTAAATGCCTCCAATATTGCCTGGAGTTGAATAATTCTGATAAAAATGAGGTGTCAAACTCACCTGGGCTCTGCAGGCTAGTTGAATGGTGCAGAGCCAGTCCATGGGCCGGATCAAATCCACAGACCCCCTCTCCTCCCCACTTCCCTAGTAGTTTGGATCAAGCACTTGACTCCAGTCATCTGGGACCCATGCTGCATGCAACACAGATCCCAGATGAGCCAGAGCAGGTGCTGCACTGCATGTGGTACCTGACCCAGCGCAACTGTGCCACATGTGATGACCACTCTGGGAACCACACCACAAATGGCACGTGTTCCAGCCAGCCCAGGACCTGCACTGCATGTGGCACTCACAGGTGCTGTGTGTAGGGTGGGTCCCAGACTGGCTGGAGTAGACACTACAGGTGGTGCAGTCCAGTCAGGGCAGGCAACATGTGTAGTGTGCACTTATTCCAGGTGCCCCAGGATCTGTGGAACATGCACCCCTGTGCCATATATTTGATACCCCTGTGATAAAGCATACGTGTGAATGGCAGGTTTACAGGGTTATTTCAAGTGTCAGAATCAGGACCTTTTAACTCTAACAGTGGAAAACTCTGAAAGTAATTTCAGTATGAAGCATGAAAATGAATGTCCATGAGGGGCATGTCCACAAGGGGCCAGCATGTCCACAAGGGGTTATGCTTAGGGGCAACCAACATGGGTTCATTAAAGGCAGATCCTGTCAGACCAACTTGGTGGCCTTCTATGATCAGGTCACAAAATCCTTAGACGCAGGGGTAGCAGTGGACGTAGCCTTTCTGGACTTCAGGAAGGCCTTCGACACTGTCTCTCACCCCATTCTAAACTAGGGGACTGTGGTGTCAACACCTACACTGTCAAATGGGTCGCTAACTGGCTGGAGGGCCGCACCCAGAGAGTGATGGTGGATAGGTCATTTTCGACCTGGAGGGATGTGGGCAGTGGGGTCCCCCAGGGCTCGGTCCTCGGACCCGCGCTGTTCAACATCTTCATCAGTGATCTGGACGAGGGGGTAAAAAGCACCCTATTCAAATTTGCTGATGACACTAAGATGTGGGGGGATGTGGGCACGCTAGAAGGGAGGAATAGGCTGCAACTGGACCTAGACAGGTTACAGCAGTGGGCAGATGAGAACAGGCTAGGCTTCAATGCTGACAAGTGCAAGGTGCTGCGCCTGGAAAGGAAGAACCAGCAGCAGACCTACAGGCTGGGGAACTCCCTTCTTGTCAGTGCAGAGGCAGAAAAGGATCTTGGAATCATTATTGATGCCAAAATGAACGTGGGCTGACAGTGTGGGGACGGGGTCAGGAAGGCCAACCACACCTTGTCATGCATCCACAGATGCATCTCAAGCAGGTCCAAGGAGGTGATCCTTCCCCTCTATGCGACACTGATCAGGCTGCAGTTGGAGTACTGCGTCCAGTTCTGGGCGCCGCACTTCAGGAGGGGTGTGGACAGCATTGAGAGGGTTCAGAGGAGGGCCACCTGCATGATCAGGGGGCAGCAGGGCAGGCCCTTACGAGGAGAGGCTAAGGGACCTGAACCTGTTCAGCCTCCACAAGAGAAGGCTGAGGGGGGATCTAGTGGCCTGTTACAAACTAGTCAGAGGGGACCAGCAGGCACTGGGGGAGTCCCTGTTCCCCCGAGCACTACCAGGAGTGACTAGAAATAACAGTCACAAGCTGGCAGAGGGTAGATTCAGACTAGACATCAGGAGGCGCTACTTCACAGTCAGGGCGGCTAGGACGTGGAACCAACTTCCAAGCAAAGTGGTGCTGGCTCCTACCCTGGGGGTCTTTAAGAGGAGGTTAGACGAACACCTTGCTGGGGTCGTTTGACCCCAGTACTTTTTCCAGCCGTGGCAGGGGGTTAGACTGATGATCTGCTCAGGGCCCTTCCGACCCTACCAACTATGAAACTATGGAATACAACTAAGACAGGAGTTCAGAATATTAGTACTTATTAAGGTCTGTAGTTGCTGTTGTAGCAGCAGTTATAGCAGAAACTCAGTTCCAGCCTTAATACTACTCTGGCCTCACTTTTCCTCACCACCCAAATCTGTAAACAAAAGGATGAATTGCTCCTAGAATTACACCACCCAAAAATGGAACTATTTCAGTGTAATTTGCAAAGTTTTATGATGCAGAATGCAAGTCTGGTTTTAACACTATTATAAGTGGATTTGAGAAGGCTGAAAATCAATGCCACAGACCACTGATTATCAAAATTAATACTGCTACTGCTCCCCACTGCCAAACTTTCAAGCGCTACAGAGCTGGATCGGGCCCACCAGCCAGAACCAGCCTGCAGACAGACCCAGCACTGGCACCCAGACCTGCCCATCTGGCCCAGGGAGGCAAAAAGGTTTGGCATCCCTGGTTTAGATTTTTGATGCAGCTTCTATTATTCAATACTGGAAGGCTACAAGTTTTCAGCAATTTAAGCATTCCTTTTGGCCAAACCTTTTATCGTATTTTATAAGTAATTGTGGAGACGATAGCTTAACCAAAAGAGGTGGCAATCTGATCTTTCTGAAGAATGAAAGCTGGAGAACCAGCATCCTGTGATGATGTTCTGTAAATGATACTCTAACTTCTAATAGTAGTATAAAAAAAGAATGGCTTACCTTTGAACAACTTTGGCAATGAAGTCATCTGTACAGATGAGAGCATCAGAGAGCCCTTTATATAGTTTACAGTTCACATGTGTGGAATCCTGCACATCCATTACCACTGAAAGACAAGGAAAAAGGCATTTGGGAGAAATTAAACTTCTGACTGTTGCGGGAAAAGTCCTGTCTTCCTCTAAAATCTATCTAGAAACACGCTTATGCTTTTTATAGAACCTGACTTACCACACACAAGGGAATCATTCACAGGATGCTGAAAGGATACACTGAAACAGGAATCAGAAAGAGGACACACTTCGAATTGCAGGATCCCAGGAGAATCTGAAAGACACGGGAGGCTGGTAAATAAGTGCAGCAACAGTGATAAACAAAGGCACAAACTTGAATAACCTCATATAAGAAGGAATAAGAAAACACTAAAGAAAAGCAATCTGGGTTTCTTAATTCCCACTCCCCAGGTTGATACTAACAATCAACAGAAAATAACACAAGATTTTCTCTTAAATAAAATCAAAGCGACACCTACCTTCTTTTAAAACGGTTCGCTTGACACAACTACCAATCAGTGTGTTGTAGGCCACTTGATGCCTGATCAAATTGAGGATGAGGGGGACCCTGCCAGGATGTTGGAAGGCAATTTTACTAATGAGGGTTCCTTGTAGACTTCTGCCATCTGGTAGAGGAGCATCCTTGTTCAGGAAATAGCAGTGCTGCTGCCCTGGAAGAGCCTGAGAAACAATCCCTGCTTTACTCCAATTGGTGCTGGATACAAGGTAGTGATAGACATCTGCCAAAGAAAGCGCAGCTCCAAAATGCGTGCCATGCTAAGCTACCTTTTTGGTTGGAAAGAGTATAAATGGTGGGGACATACATTCTGAAAATAAGACCTTTTTATAAACTGACTACAAACCTGACCAAGCAGAACAAGAGAGTGCTGCCATGACATTTTTTATATCACTTTCCACTTCTATAGTGTTTTCTGGTGGAGGATCTCAAAGCACTTCTGCACATAGTAACTTTACTACCCTCTTATGAGGTTGTTAATATTGTGTCCTTTCCACAGTTGGGGAAAGAGAGGCACAAAAAATGAAATCCCAGCCCCACTGATATCAGTGAGAGTTATCACTGATTTCTATGGAGCCAGGATTACACCCCAAGTGATAAAGTAGCATATCTAAAAGTCACATGACTGAGACAGTGGAAGGGCCATGCAGAGAACCCAGGGGCACTTGTTATTAGACTTCTGTTCTTCTGGCTGGAGTGACATTTGAATTTTCATGTTTTTTTTCAGTTTTACAACTAGAAAGTCACTCCTCCCTCATTCTGCAGTAAATGCACAAAGTTAATTTGAACAGCAGTAAGACTCTCACGTGCCTTCAAAACTCAAATAATTCCACATTAATATTGAACATTTAGAGTGCTGACAGATATGGGGGGAAAAACCCAAAACGCTCTACTGGAAGCAGCAGCGTGTTACTTCAACTGGGCTCTGCAGCATCTGTATAGATCGGGCACTGCAGAAGAGCTTTTTGGTGCTATTAAAGGCTCCACTAAAGCACCCGATCTCTACAGATGTTGGGAAAGGCATGTGAAACTAATGAGCTGCCTCTTCTGGACATGTGCTGGGCTTGGCATGGAAGCACTCCAAGTTTAAAGTGAAGTGCTATTCCCCCCCCACCCCAACATCTGCAGGCAGCCTTAGCTGGCCATTTTGAGACAATATTGGCAAGCTCGATGCAAACTACATCTTTCAACACAGTTGCCAATCTTTTACCTCCATAAATTAGCTACTAGGTCTTTAGCCAGAACAGTCACACATTGAGATCTAGTGATTTAATATAAAGCCAATATATGGAACACTATATAATTTTGGCTACCTTTGAGAGGACTGAGTAGCTAGAACTACAATTAAAAAGGCTAACCTATCCTTGGAAGAACCAGTTCCAAGAGCATGTGTACAAACCTGAAGAGTTACTTTATGAAATGTTATCAAACCAAACAGCTGCTATTCTCTGGTCAATTTAGCTTATACACTCCAAAGATTTTTTTTTTTAATATGATTCTTTGCCAAATGGAAGCATTGAACAAGAAAACCCAACGGATACAGACCACATGCCTGGTGGGTATTTTTACTAAAAGTACGACACAGCAGCGCACAACCTTTTTGAGATACCATATGGAATAAAGCATTCCAAAGTTGCAAACAAACACTATTGTGGCAGTCCACTTGAAGACAAGTCCACATTCAAAGCAGAACAACTTTCTAGTTTAGCTACTATGGTAGTGTGTTTTGGTGGGGCTTTTAGCATTCAGTGCTAGAATAACTTAAACCTTGCCTGCACACAAAAATTGTGCCACTTTAACTATATGGTATGACTCTATATACAGTAGGAGTATATCAGTAATATTATGCTGATAAAAAAGTCATGCCCTAACCAACAACTACACAGACACAACTGTCCTTGATAGTTTCCACACCCAGCATTTCTAGTTTTCTTCAAGTTTCTCCAACCATCATGACATACTTACTGCATAGAAGCGCATGTTGTGGTTTAAAGGTACAGAATCTGTCTCCTTGGATAACTCAAATTGTGTAATCAGCTCATACAGGGGGACAAATGCTGGTGGGGTGTCAAACAATGGAATTCCTGAGGACACAAATACAATATAACAAACAAATCATACAGCTAAAGAGACCAGTATTCGATGAAAGAAAAGACCTAATAGTTAGGAGAATAATCCAATTGTCAACAGTATGCACAAAATATGTTTAAAAGTGTGGCAATTATATAACAAAGTAGTAGCTTACCTGTGCAGCTCTGAAGTTTCTGAATGAAAGCTCGGGATACTGGAATAGGTCGTGGGAACTTCAAGAAGAAGCATGCTGGCAAATCAACACTGTTGGCACTGGTGACTGATGAAAAGGATGGAGTCCTAAAATAGTGAATTTTTGTAACATTTTATTGTACAGGCAGTCCTTGACTTACAACGTTTCGCACTTACGATGTTTATAAATTGACACCATTTCAACTTTACGACGTCAGTTTCAACTTACAATGCTTGATCTGATGTGATGCCACGCTAGCGAACAAGTTCGCTGCGTCGCTCATCTCCCTGGAGAACATCTGTCCAAACTTCCTTGGACACTTTTTTAAAGAAAGCAGACAAGACTCCAGAAAAACCTGCAGCTAAGACTCCTGAGAAGACTAGCCAAGAGCCCTTCAAAAAGTCCAACCAAAAGCCCTTCAAAATGTCCAAAGTCACCTCAAAGAAGTCCTTCCAAATCAATATGATTGCTATTTACAATATAAATACATTAATGTAGCTATATTACTCATCTATAACTGATCGAGTACAAAATTCTGGGGTACTTTTGGTGCAAATGGGATATTGGGCCTTGATTCAGGAACCAAGCCTCCATTTATAACATTGTTTCTTATGAGAAAATTGGTTCCAAGTTACAACGTTTCAACTTAAGATGTGGTTTTCAGGAACCAATTGTGTCGCAAGCCTGAGGACTGCCTGTACCTAGAATTAGTAGGCATGTATCTACCCTGACTACCACAGGTCCTGACTTACAGGCAGGTTGGATGGCTGTGCAAGTCAGGACAGTATTACAATACATTCAGAAAAAAATATTTTTGGAGTGAGCAAATATTTTGAATTTCAGGTGCAAATTTTATTCTTTATCCCAAAACAGGTAATTTGTTTATGCCTTTTGAAAAATTAAGACATTAACTTAGCACCTTAAAAACATGTTTTAATCGTGCCTCCACTGCAGGTTATTTCTTAGACTAGGGGCAACATCAAAATCATATTAGTAATGATAAGACACCATGCAGTCATCACCATGCACACATCACAGTCATACCAGTGACTGAAAGAGGGCCCAAATATTGACACAGTTAGATTTTGTAGAAGGCCACTATTAAAGGTCTGGCAATGTCTCCTTTCCTTACCCTTTGTTGTCAACAGGATGGGACCCCATAATTAATGGTGCAATGGGGAGTTTGTACATCGCTAAGGTTCCTTCAATTGTTACTGATACATTCAAGCCTAAAGACCGAGGAACTAGAAAAAGGAGGGAAGAAAAAAAAGAGAATGTATCAAACAGTAATGAGTGTTATGAGTTAAATACTACTTCCATGTAAATGATATTTGTGCATGTAGCATCTTACAGTCTAATCTAATTTAAAAGTGCTACTTCTATTCTAATATTCTGGGTGTGGGTCTATTACTTGTCAGTTTTATATGGATTTGCAAGCATGGATTATGTTTCTGTATGCACAATCATTTATCATTTTTTGGCTGATTCCCAGTGTATCATTTCTCTGAAATCACTTCACCTTCTCTAGATGCTATCAAACCCTTGTTTTATTGTCAAGACAGGGGCAGAAATAAACCTACAGTTGGACATCCAAGATGAAATACATCCTTGCACAAAGAACCAGCAGACCTATTTTGAGGGTTTAAGTGATGCATTGGCTTCATTCTGATCATCTTCCCAGGAGTAAATTTCAGCCTCAAAGAGCAATTATATTCAGGAAAAGGGAGGAGTGAGCCAGGTTTTACTTGTGCACTTACTGAAGTCCTCAGCCACTTGATTTTCTCATTTTGAAAAGTGACAAGTGCATAGCTGTAATTCCCTGATCCCTGCCTAGCTAACCCCAGCACAAGACCTAGAGTAGCAGAGGGCCTACTCTAACTTTTGTCACTGCTGTAAGGTCCATAAAAGACCATGGACTTTGACAGTGGATGATCAAAGATGCTGAAGGTCTACTTCACCACATCTGTCCTGCCCTTGGAACATTCCTGGCATACTCATTCTCTCCTGTTATGCTACATGGGAAGAGATCAGTTTGTTTTTGGAACCAGCAAAGACACCTTTGCCAAATCACACAGCTAAAGATCCAGTGCATAATTCTCCTATGTAAAGGAAACACTTCACTTAAGGCCATTTTTGTTCTATGCTTACACAGAAGAATAAACATGGTTACCTTCAGAATATACACTCTTCTCAAAAAATGGAAATTCTATAAAATAGATAATTAGTTGCTTAATCAATAAGAAAGCTGCCTCCTTCTAACATATTTTTGCCACCTACTTCATAGAAAAATGTAAACAAAAAACTTTGAATAAATCTGAAAAAAATCTCACTTGTGTCTAACATACGATAATCAATCAGCAGCCAAAAGCAGCCTTTAAGACCTACCGTTGTTATCATGTAGAGCAATGGGGGCCCCGGTACCATCTTCAAACAGATCATATGGGGAAATGTAATACTTGAGGTTCATAAGATGACCTGTGGAAAATGGGCATGTCAATGAGTGGGCTGGTGGCTCCAGTGAGTCTGATATTCATAGTCACCAGCAATCATACCAAAGTCATCTCTCAGTACTATAAATCTAGCAAAGTATGACACTGTGACTCCATCCAGAAAACATCAATGCCAGTAGAGAGAAACTGTGTATTGTAAAGCCAGTGTGATGACAAATACTTGGCAAAAAAGCTGACAATGAGATTCTTACAAATATATCAACTGCTGCCACTTCCACTGTAACAACTCTTATCCATTATTAGTGCTTGTCTATGGATGGCAGCAGAGACTCCTATGATGGATCCATACACTTGAATAAAAGCTAGTTTATAGACAAATAAAAACTATCTATCAAATCCTTTTGTATTGCTAAACAGAAGGAAGAGAAATACCTCCACTTCGTGGGGTGAGATACCCAACACTGCCATGCAAAATCTTGTCAAAGGGACTTGCGTTGGTAGCTTGCCTTAAAAAGGAGGGGGGGGGAAGAGAGAAAGAGAATCATGGGTTTATAAGATGCCAGAACACAGCTGAAATCTAAAACCTTAAAGGAGACACTAGCACACAATTCAAAGTCAAGCAAAAGAGAATTCCTTTTACTTCGCACTATAGTTGGAAAATATCTAAAAGCACTGGCAAAAAGGAGAATTAATTCACTTCTTAGCATAGCGGGTGTTTAGTCCACTGAATGCATCAAGAACTGCTAGTGATTCCCAATCTCTTTTGTTGACAACCCCTCTGCAATGGATTAGTGCAGGCATTTTCAACCTTTTTTTAGTCTAAGTACCCCTTGGTGGCCAGACACCGAGGTGGGGTGGAGAGGGGTGCATGCGTGGCTGGACACAGAGCACAAAGGCAGGGACAGTGCGCGGGCAGGTGGGGACAGAGCACTGCTGCCTCCCAGGAGCAGGGGTGGAGCAGGGAAGCTCATTGGGCTGGTGTGTGGTGACAGTGGCCACTGCGTGCGAGCTTCCCTGCCCCACAGAGGGGCGCTGCTGCCCTCACCCCACCCTGGCCCTTCTCGTGGGAGGCGGCAGCGTTCTGTCCCCGCCTGCATGCACACACCCCCTAGAACTGGCCCAAGCACTCCCAGGGGTATGCACACCCCCGGTTGACAACCCCTGGATTAGTGAAGGGGAAAATCAATGTCCACCCCAGTAACAATGTCTGCCAAAGTTGCTGTGTCAGAGATTGCTTTAGTCAACTTCTCCCCATGCTCCCCTTTTCTATCTGTATTCTCAACTTCTGCGCTGCTCCACTTTCTATTTTAACTGCTTATTCTGTAGTTAAACATTGTCATTAGTTAAATTTAACAATGAATATTGAGAGCATTCTTTTTCAACTTCCTGTTGTACTGAATTGTTTTAATCTTGGTGTCAGCTTTAGCAGGAACTCAGAATAAACAGGCATTGACTGCCATATCACAAATCCATACAAAAGATTTTTTCCTCAACATACAGCTCATGAATGACTAGTAACAATAATGGAGACTGAACCTGAGAATGAAACCTATAGAATAATGAAGAAAAATCCATATTTTAGAGGTTCTTACCAATACATTGATGCCATCTTAATGAGATCCAGCTCCAAAGACTGTAGAGCCAAGTACATTTTAGTTTTAAGCTTGCTGGGGAAAAAATGAGAAAAAAGAAATGAGAGTTCAGGAAACTACACAAGTACATCCAGACACACAACTTGATCTGCAGGCAAACAAGGGGAACTCCTAGCTGACTAATTTTAGTATTTTCTAACAAAGCCCATCCTTAACATTTAAAGATAACACAGAATTCAAAGTTACTCAGATTTACAGATTAAATCCATTGTTAGAAGTAAAACCTGAATTGTCCCAGTACTGTGATTAAAGCAACTGAAAATATACAATTCTTCTTTCAGGTTACTGTTACATTGCAATTGTGGTAAAGACGTATGAAAACTGAATGACACGATGTCTCAAATATTAGGAGGTTTGATTGTTGTGGTTGTTTTCAGGTAAGGGGTATCAAGCAAATAGGTGTCAGTATATATACTTGATTTGTCTTCTGTGTACTGCATGATTTGAGAAAAAAAGAAAAAGGAACTTGAGTACATATCTTCACTTCTTAAATAAAAAAAAAAATCACACAGCAGTGGAAGAAATTTAAAAAAGTGTTTATGCTTAGTAGTAATTCATCATAAATTCATCTGATGTGTTCATCTGGAAGATGCAACCTTGCTAGGCAGCAATGCTCTGAGATCAAGAGAGCATAGACTTATATGTAAAATGGCACAATACTCTCTAATGACTATACCAGCAAGGTTCTAAGTTATCTTTTGAAAGATGCTGAGCACTTCCTATTCTCTCTGAGGTCAACAAAAGCTGTGCCAGAGTTGGCACATTTAAAACCAAGCCATTTATTTGGATTTAGGAGTGTGAGCTAGAGCTTGCTTTTTTTTAATTTTGCCCATCATGAATTTTTTTTTTCATTTAAGAGCAAATAAGCAAAATATATTCCCCCTGCAGCCTCCCCCAAATTAAACACTCTTGTTAGCAGTGAGAACCAGAGAGAAAACAGAACAGAAAATAATGTGAAACTGATTAATTTAGCTTCATTGTTTAACCAGAAATTAAGTGAATGGAAATTCACAGCATGCATGCAGAATGAGATTACAAAGATTCCTTCAGTAAAAATGTGGACCTTAATTCTGCAGATATGTACATACTAGTACACAGTGGCACTCCTCACATACATAAATTAGAACAGAATTGGGGTCTTAGTAAAGATATTTGTTGATATAGTTATTTTTATAGTATCCTTTAGATGCTGTATTCCTGCATGCATGGAGACAGATGGCAAACACAATAAAAAACAGTTTGCAAATCTCTTAGTGCAAAACAATAGAAGGACTGCCAAAAAGATGACATTACAATGTGTTATAGATTTGTAATTTAGGCTCCTTTATTCCAAATCTATGCATGCATTTAAACACACAAATGTTCCCACTGAGGCCAACAGCATGTGATTAAGGACTTGCAGAACTGTTGCACACACATATCAAAAATACTAAATACAGTAAATGCTATATTCTTACTTGTCTCCTGGCAATTTATACAGGTTCACAAGTCCCTTCAGATGCTTAGAGAATTTATCAAAGTTTTTCTCTCTAGAAGGGAAAAAAATGGTAATTTTAAAGTAATTTATAATAGATTAGGATTTATTCTTTATTTATTTATTCATTTTTTTAGGAATTATTGCCTTTATAAACAGTTCTTAAATCAGTTAGGAATATACTTGAGTTATCCGGAATTTGAGAAAAATGTGTTTCTTAAATTTTTGCAGTACACTATCATTTTTTTGCTTAGTGATATTCTGTTCCAAGTAACTGAGAAAAAAAGGTCCTTTAAACTTATCCTAAAATCTTTCTGCAAAGAACAATGGTCAAAGGCAATTTTGTGGCATCACACAACAAGCAGGCATGATGATCTGACTCAGAAATCACAGAGCTAAATATAGCCAGAAAACCCCTTGTAAAGTACATAGACTTTGGGGTGGTAGCATGTTTGTGTGTGGGGGAGGTGGGAGGGAAACAGTTACTGAATGCCACAATGTGTAGGGCACAAAACAATGCTGTTGATCAGTATCCTAGGAACGCAATGAACAACCTTTTTGCTCACCTCAGATGTTGCACCAGCTCTGGACAGCTCTGAAACAAAAAACAAGAAAAATACATTCATTCCAAATTAATCTGCTTTAAATCTTTTCATGAGTAAAAAATACAAGGACAGAATGAGATTATTGAGAATCATCTTTTGCTGAGAAGCAATTTAAACACTCCCTGCTCTGCACCTGTATGCTTCCAATGCCCTGTCTGTCAACCACTTCCAACACAAATTCAAGATACTACTACAGGATTAACTTAAACTACAGTTTTCAAACCTGGGGACTTTATGTTGAACATCTATATCCATATATACACATCTAATAAACGTATCTTGCTTTTCAGAAGTTCAGACAAAATATACAGGTGCCAGCAGTCTAGGGGGAAAAAATCATGTCAACTTTTTAACATACCTAACTCTAGGCTTCCATGTTTATATATCTTCTATTCACAAAACTCTGATTTATAATGAAAACACCCTCCCAGCTCATGAAGGGAAACAGACGAACAACAAAAAACAGCATTTTTTTTGTCAATTGATTATACTGGAATTTGAAGAACAATATGGACTATTATTTAAGTGATCCCAATTCAGATGCACAGAGTTTAAATAAACACCATTAGGAATCAAAAGGAATTACTCCATGAAGGGTTTCACCTCTTACTGGAAAAGTGAGAATAGGTTTTTTGGGGATTTTTTTTTGTTTGGACGAGAGAAACATATTCCACACAATCAATTCCCTGAGTTTGTACTGAGGGGAGACAAATTGACAGACTGTGTCTTTGACATTACCCATCTTCTTTTTATTGGTAATACATACCACAGGATTTTCTCCATGGTGAGCCACCTTGACATCACACAGCAGCCCTGTAGAATCTAAGTGGACTTCCACATAGAACATGTCTGAAGTGATGTAACATTCAGTGCCATTTGCACTAAGGTGAGATCCAAGGCTTACATACAAAACAAAACAAAAATTGCAATGAGATGCACACAAAAAACAATCAAAACAGCAGTGAGATTACGATGATCCTGTACAGATACACAGGAAATGCCTTGGCCACGAAAGACGACTTACCCATTCTGTCTAGCTATAGATTCCAAGCGATCTGTCATGGCGGGAAGGGATGATACTAGAACAAGACAGAAAGGCAAGTTTAATCTGAGTTTATATTCCCCCAGTGTACTTCTCTGGCATTAAGTCAGTCTCAACTAGCCACCCACTCCTACACAAGACATTATTATCTGCCTGCAACATGACATCTGTGTGTGTGCATATACATGAATGATCAACATTCAAAATATAGGCAAAACAATTTAAGACAAAAAAAATAATTATTGCCCAGAATCACAAGTATAAAGAGGAAACAAATTTTCTTCTGTGTTTCCAGACAAGTCAGTTTGGGTTGGAACCATGCACAATAGTCTAAAATAAAATATTTACCTTAAGTATAATGTCGATACTCACAATGCAGCACTGTGACTGACGGAAGAAGTAAACGTGTGTGATAAGTAAATCCACACATACCCCCCAAACACAAAATGAAACGAGTTTGATAAGGTTTTGTTTTAATTCAACCATGTTCTGTTGTGAAACATGCAAAAAAACACATGCGAGTATATCTGTATAGTTATATTTTCAAGGAATTTGCCAACCTTTCAATGCCTTCTGCAAAGTCTCCAAACAGCTCACCAGATGTTGATGCCCTCCGGAGTTCATCACAACACGTTTTTCCTGAATCAGAAGAGGGAAAACAACTATTTGTATGCAATGTTCAGTGAGATGGAGTCATCATAACTATTATTCAGGGCCAAATGTTGTTTATTCAGACAATTTAAAGTTAATTAAATCCTCTCCCAAAATTACTTTTCCAATTAGATTCCTAAAAGGAGAGTAGCATATCTAGACTACTTACAGAGGTTTCAAGAAATGCCCTTTTCCCCCCCACTTAAACTGCTGAGTGACCTGGAAGAATGGACTGCAAAAACTGAGAATTTACCAGGAGAAAGAGAGATTCAGCAAAGCATGCATTGTTTTGTAATGCATGAAGACTCTAGGTAACTTTTTCCGTCCCAGAACCACCATTTCGATGAACACGCCAACTGAGCTGTGGCATTGAATTACAAATACAATTGAGAAAGGAACAACATGCCTAACATTTGTAATAGTCTTATTTTTATTTCACAAAACCAGCTGTACTCTTATCAGAAATAGAGACTAATAGAGACTGTGCTGCACAACCATGTTAATAGCCATCTGCCTAAGGGTCCTCAATTCTCAGTAGTGACTGTATTCCAGGGGTTATAAGTGAGACTCTATATGCGACTACCTATGTTCCATTTTGTCCCTTTGTGCTATAAATATAGTTTACCTTTTTGTGTCTCTGCTTCCCCTTTGCCATCTTACCTATTTAGATTACAAGCTTTGTGAAGTGGGAATTCTCTCTCCTCAAGCAAAACAGGGGCCCTAATCTTGTTTGGGGCCTGTGAGCACTACTAATATGATCCTTCCTCCTGAGGTTTAATACTTCGTAAAGTACATTCAGATAACTGGCTGCCAGGTGCCAACAAAGTATGAATCATAAAAAGACTATGTAATATCACCAATCTCTCGAAAACTCTCACCATGACTTGACGGACAAGCTTCACAGTTTCAGTCCAAGGTCTGTTCTGGTTAAACTTTGCATGAAGTCTTTCCAAGAGCGAACTCATCTTGTTCAGCTTCTCTGCTTCTATAGGACAAATTATAGAAGACATCTCATTCAGGACCTGCTGCAATTTAATGTTAATTCAAACAACACAAAACTTTTACAGACACAAACCCCCATGACCTTCATCTAAAAGATCCGCCATTCCATCTCAATGTTAGGGTAAACCACAACTTTGAAAAATCTTTTTACTGATTATACACACACACTTTTAAGACCTGCTGAAGGCTCATGGGAAAGACCTGAAGTAGCAACAGATCTTTGAAGAGGAGGGGTTAAATCTCCTGGTTTTCATAGCACTGAACATGCATATGCAGGTTTTTTTTCAACTCTGAGTTCTGCTGAGAACTTTATAAGGCAAAAATACTTCCACAGACTCCTCCTTACTCCCAAAACCCTAATCACACTCTAACTATGTTTCAAACTTTTTCATTTGTGGACTGACCACCTGAAAAGAAGCTGTGGACCCAAATCTGAGAGCCATTATACTCACATTTTTTGCTCTAAATTGTTTTTAAGAATACCTTCATAACACGCAGTGAAGGGTGAATCACCAGCCTATAAAAACTCCAGCTGGAACCCACTTACAATGAAGGACCTGACTGAGGCAGTGACAGCTGGAATGCAACACAGGCCAACAACTACCAGTGCTGCAGAGAGCTGGGACTTCTATGACTTAAAGGAGTTCTGATCTTACTCATACTAAAGACCCATGGGTTGGCATCTTCTGTGGGTGGGTGCCTGCAGGATACAGAGGTATCCTTGAATCTGGATAGCAATCTGCATACTGCAACACAATGAAACAACTGGCAACTTCAGTTTCACTTCCCAGCAAACAGGGTTTCATGGTATTCCATCAACTTTAAAACTTAAGAAACAAGTTTTATGCATCTCAATTTCTCTGTTATTTGGTGGGGGGTTACAGTGCCTTTTTACTGTGTGTTAAAAGTGCTTTGGTCTTCAGTACTGCAATGGAAAAGAAGCTTATAAACTACAGAGAAACTGATGATGCAGTGGAAACACTGTCATTGACTATACAAAGGGTATTATCAAATGCATGAAGTAAACAAGCTGAAACAACAGAGAAAATAGTTTTCCTTACTCTCTAGTTATGAGTATCTTCTGTGATATTTGTAAAAATTGGGGATAACACTTGTCTAAAAATAGTTTTAAGTGGTGTCCCTTTCACTAGATATGGAGCAGGCTTCTCTAAAGCTAGACCCTGGAGTTTAAGCAAAGTCATCCCCGTTTGTTTTGGCAACTTCAACTGAGGTGTCCAGTTCAAGGTAAACCTAGGATTAAAACTTTAATGGCACAAGTTCCTATTTGTGTAAATATGTTAGGGGCATTTCAAAACTCAGTTTGGGAATTGTATTATGCCGTAAACTTAATATTGAATGCATCTGCAGGTCCACATGCAGAAAACAGTTCTTTAAAATGGCTGGTACAAATTTCCAGATAATGGATGACATCCTGGGTCCACTGGGATGCAGTAGAAGTTCTGCATTTGACATAAACAGAAGCAGAATTTCAGCCAGAGTATAGTCTTTTATTTCCTTCAGAAACTGAGGAAGTCAACTATCCCTGCTTAGCAGCTGGCACCAGATGTCACCAAAAAAAAGAAAAGACAAGTAACCTGTCGGTCAGACTAGCTATTAATTTTAGTTCTTCTTTTTAATTTATACTGAAAGCATGATGATTATTAGTTTTGCAGAAGAGGTGGATTTAGACATGCCTTATATTTGTGTGTTTAATATGTCTGTGGATTGTTTCTGATACACATTAAAAAAAAATTTTTTTAACAAATTAACACAGCAGAACTGAAACCCTCAGAATGAATCCATGCCCATTTGATGTATACAGGGGCAAATTATATATAGGGAAGAACTCTAAGCTCTAGAAACCATTTCCCTTACTGCACAGAACAGGTTCCCAAACTCTGCCCTACTAAAAGCTGTGCTGACATCATGATAGCAACTAAACGGATCTGCTCAACTTGCCTAAGTTGGGGCAAACGGCAGCTGTCATCACCTTTCACAGAGGTGCAGCCAATAAGGCTGCAAGTCACACAACATGAAGGTCCATCTCAACCCAAGGCAGCTATTCTGACTTACGCACCACACGGTCACCTGCACCAACAGTTTTCGGCACCTTCATATTCTGTAAACCACGAGGCTGCTCAGCCCCAGGTGAAACATCCTGTCCTTGGCACATACGCTCCTCTCCCATCCGGGTGCAGCAGCACATGCCAGAAGCCCTTTACCTACCAGCAAGTGCTCCCTACCAAGGGGTTTGAACTAGCACGGGCGGCAGTGCCCGATTCTGGCTGCAGGTAAAAGAGCACAACCCTGTCTTCCGGTCACCTCCTGGGCAGCTCAGCCGTGGCTTCAGACAGGGCACCAACCCGTGCGCTACGGGTCCCTGACATGCTCCTGAGGACAGATGGATGCTGCCCTGAAACGTACTGGGAGGGGGGAGATGGTCCTTCTTCCCCCTGGGGACTTGAGGGTAGGGACTGCTGGCTTTCCAGGGAAGAGGATGTGTGGGCTGCCGCCTGCCCTGGAGATGAGCATCTCCCTGCTCCCGCCCCGGCAGCGCCCGCGCCCCTGCCCCCGCGGGCAGCCTCGTTCTGAGCAAGGGGCTGGGGGTGCAGCCTCGCTCTGGCCCCAGGCACTCACCCTCAGCGCCCCCCTGA